CCCCCCTCTCTCTCTCTCTCTCTCTCTCTCTCTCTCTCTCTCTCTCTCTCTCCATCAGTCCATCTCGCTCACACTGCTCTCGGGTCTTCCATTTCACCCCCTTTCTCCTTCACCCGCCCCGCCCTCTCTCTCTCTCTCTTTTGAAGTCCCGTGTTGAGGCCTGCTGCTTCTCCACTTGCCCCCAGTCTTTTTCGACAACTTGTTGATTTTCGTGTTTGCACTCCGTTATTCTGCAAACAGCGAGGGCGCGCGCTGAAAAAGAAATTGGCTGCCCTCTGGCTAATTGCGCTTCTGTGTAGCGGATCGCGTTCCGTCGGTCCCATCGGGGCCGTTTTGACGATCTGCATTTTCGCAACAATGTGATGACGTTTGGTCTCGCAACTCTCTTTTTTGTCCACTTCACTGACGCGGGCAAATGTGACATGTATTTTTTTTTCTATGTCGGAAAGTTGCGTGAGAACGCCCCCAGGCCAGGAGCGCGACAAGGGGTTTGGATATCAGGACACCTTTCGTGCTGCTCCCGCTTTACTTGCCCCCCGCCTCATCCCTTCCACCCCGCGCCAGGACGTTCATTTAAAACAATAACCGGCTTCGCCACAATTAACGGAATCTGATTTTTTTTTCGACCCCCGCGCAGCCCGCGGTGCTTCTGGCCTGCAACCCTTTCCTTAGCTGGACTCGGCTGCCACCTCCAGCACACAATATCCTTCCGGTTTCTCTCTCCCTCTTGCTCCCCGGGCGGCAGCACGACCTCTCTGTCTCTTTCGCACACACACACGGTCGCTCGCACGCACCCTCCTCTCTGTCCGCGGGGCTGGACTCGCGCATTTAAAACAAAGGCGGGACGGACATCGCGGCGCGGATATATATAGAGGGTTTTTATTCATATGCAAATGAGTCGCCCTGCTGCCGGCCGGCTTTAAAAAAGAGAGAAAGAAAGAAACGGCAGAGCAAAAGAGTTCGGACCGGGTGAAGTCTGAAGCGGCGTCTGAGATGGTCAGTATAGGGCTTGGCCGCAGACGCCCGCTCACACTAAATGCCGTGGTCGACTTGCTTGTACATGACTTTCAGTATAATACCAAATTTTTACAGAAAATTTGCCATTTCTGAAAGATTGCAAAACATTGGCAGTTCCTAAGAGAACGCCAAAACTAGGAATTCAACAAGAAATTCAAACATTTTGGCAACCTCGTTAAAGTAGAGTGCCCGAGAGTGTCACGCGGACTGATCTGATCGAAAGCTCCACTTACAACGACTCGAGGCAGTCCCCGCTCAAGTTTCGTTTATTCGTTGTCATCATGATTTCTGCGGATGGTACTGACACTACGGTGCGCCGCGCTCTCGGCGGCCTCAGTATAGAGGCGGCGGGGTTGTCTCTTCAAGTCGGACCGCGCCATTGTTCGTGGCGCGCTCTTTAAAACAAAAGCGCGCGCCCAAGCCCAAAGCGTCTCTCTTCATTATCCTTCCTTTTTTGTTGTTGTCCCGCACGCATGTGTGTGTGTACATTTTTCTCTGTTGCACTCTCTTGCCGCGCTATCTGTCCCCAAGGAGGTCTTCTTTCTCTCCTTTCCCAGCTTGCTCCTCTAAAGAACCCCGCTCCTTTCGAACAAGGTTAGGACGGAGACGAATATTTTTTAAACCCCTTTACCTTTTGGTGCCATAAATAGGGTTCCTTTCCAGAGACTGGGGTGTGTGTAGCGAGAACCAGCACTGTATGGGTGGTGTGAATCAGCTGCCCGACTGAAAGGGGGTCGCGTTCAGAGGCCGTGCAATGCTAACCTTGTTTTTGGCTTTTGCAGGGGAACGACCGTACCGATGTCATCTGCCGGACTGCGGGAGAGCCTTCATCCAGCTCAGCAACCTGCAGCAGCACCTCCGCAACCACGACGCGCAAGTGGAGAGGGCAAAGAACAGGCCGTTTCACTGCAACATCTGCGGCAAGGGCTTTGCGACAGAAAGTTCGTTAAGAACGCACACCTCAAAGGTAAATATCACACACGAGGGCGCCCATGAAACAAGTTTAAAAAAGAAACAGTTAAACGGAAACACAAATATTTTGACTGATATGTCTAGTAGCCTTAGATATTATGATTTTGCACATTTTACTTTTTACCGGAGCACATGCTTGGCATGGAAATTATAATTTTTTAAACACACTTTTTACTTGTGATTTATTATGATGCATGAGATGCGTATGATGCGCTCAAACGTATCATTAATCTCACAATTGCATTAGTTCCAATCGTTTCGAACGTTTGAGGAAAGTCTAGTGTTTGTGGCTGCCATTCATATTTATTTTGTTTTTATGGCTTACAATTTTTTTTTGTTGTACATTATTTTATTTTTCGCACCAAATGAACGTAACTTCTTTTTGTTTTCTTTGTAGTGCGTTTGTACACAGAAGCGCTTAGAGGATCCGCTTGGAACGGCAGCACCAACTAGAGTACGCTATGACATTTATTTATGTATATACCGCTAAACTGCATGCCTTCCGCCAAACCGTACGGGGTATCTTGCTTGTTTTCTTTTGTGCAGAGCAAGCGCTTTTTGGTATTTGGTCTTCTCTTGGCTGCCGCATCTTTTTGTCACTCCCCTTCGCACGGGTGGTACCGGAATGATTGATTCAAAGTTTCTACACGACGCGCGCGACTTAACAAGCTCTCTTTCCCTTACCTTTCGACGTCTCAATCATCATCGTGTGCCCCCCCTTTATTCTCCGGCTCGGGTTTTGATACATCGGCGCGGAGATGTTGTGGACAGGCGTCGCCCGTCTGCCACCGCGGCCTATCCTCCGCCCGGAGGCCTCCCGCTAGTCCCCATTCATCCGCTCTCTGTGCCGTTCCATTCAGCCGCCCGGCCCATTTGACCCAGAAGCAGGGCCGGGCGTGCCGCGCGGGGGTCCCTGATGGGTGGCAGGGCAGGGCACGGCAGGCCACGCTGCTGGGCCGGATGGCTCCGGGCCGCTCCGGGGCCCGCCGCCCGCAGGCCACATGTCGCCGCGCCGCGCTGCACTTCCCTCCAGCTCCAGCAGCTCGTCTGGCCTACACCTGTAGGTGTTCGAGCCTTCGCACCTGTCACCCCCACCTCCCCCCACCCTCGCCTCACCACCGCACAGAATAACCTCTTCTTCCTCCTCCTCCCCCTCCTCCTCAACCAATTCTCTGTCTGTCTCGTGTTGGTCTCACATCCAAATGAAGACAATCAGACCACGAAATGAATCGTGCTGGCCGGGACGGAACCGGTGAGGGGGAGGGGAAGGGGGGGGGCAGCTCGTGCTGGCCGGACAGGCTCCTGGCCACACACACACACACACACACACACACACACACACACACACACACACTCACGCACGCGCACAGAATGAAATATGCGTGCGAGTTTGACATGTTATGTAACCGGTCGTCTTGAGTGCGTCCTCCTCCCTGCCGTCCGCCGTCGTCGTCCCTGCTTGCTTATTTTGCAGGCGCCCTTGACCAGCCCGGTGGCGTGCCCGCACACACGACATAC